GAATAACATAAAATCTCTATTAAACTTTCTTAACATCTTTATTTCACTGAACATTCTGCAGTATCACTTACTACGAATACATAAAAATTCGGTCCAATAATACGTGAATAACAAGCAAATATTGAAATAAATTCAATATAAAATAAAAACCGCATGCACTTAATAGACAATCAAATGAAATTGCTAATATCAAGCTAGTATTGCTCTATCTTTCGCATTCGCTATCCTTCCTTTTATCAAGCAATTTTCCATTTGTTCCAACATTCCGCTGCAAGGACTAAAGAAAACTCGTAAAATGATCTATCGCGGCTTTATCTCCGTTTATATCGGAACGCTTGCCCTTTCCATCTTACGTGTAATTGACGATCGTTCCTACAGCTCTAAATGTCTGCAAGGCTTCTCAAGCCGCATTCCTAGCGCCGAAATAAACCCCGCGTAAGTGGGCTATCGCGATAAATTCTAGCGACAGTCACAGGTTGAACTGTAACCGTGACACGTCGTTGACTACCGGGAACGTACCAACTGGATCAGTCTAGCGGGGCGTAAAGCTAGGAAGGTTAGATTGTTTTCGCGTTCCTGGCGAACCCCTGCGCTACCATTGCCAGCGGGAATGACAGGAGGTGTGGCCGATAACGAGGTAGATACAGTTATGGCTAGGTCGTTAATGCCTCGCAAGTTGCCGGAGATCAAGGAAGATCGATCGGTGGATCCATCGACTCGGTATTGGTCTGTCACCGTCGACGACGCACGCTGACGCTCGGTCCGTGACGTTCGCCTGGGAAATACAAAAATCACAGGAGGAGAGAGAGAACAGAAACAAAGCTGGAATTCGTTAACTTCGACGGCGATACTGACACTATTTTACATTCCATATAGAGGCCGCGTCAGAAAGGGTTACGTATGGATTGAGCGTGGGCAAACGAAAATCTGTCGGAATTTAAACATTGATGGGGAACCTGGAAATTTATTTCCGCCGTGCTTCGTGCCTTTATTTTTTCCTACCCCCGGCGCAAGCTCTCTCCCGTACCCGTTACGCGAGAATAGGAAGGATACTCGCTGTTTGTCCGCCGTTGATATTTGTATTGCGCGCAATGCTGCTGTTGTAAGTCCGGAAAAGTGGCACGAGAAAATAAAGTTTCTGCGTGCATTGCCGGGAAGAGATACACGAGTAATGTCGAATCTAGATCGTTACACGCGATACGTGGTACCGCCGCGAAGCAATTTCGTAGAAATAAAGCGACCACGGGTTTTCACGTCGGAATGGAAACGATCGTTTCCCGATGGTTCCGGCAACTCGAGGGTGAACAAAGGTTACGTGTGATTATCAGAGCTTACCTCGGAGACCGTTAACCATCAGACGTCGGTGGACCTGGGATCGAGATCCGTCGCGGCAATGTTTTCGACAATGATCGCCATCCGGGGGTCGCAATCCATTTCAGGATGACTCCAATTAGATCCAACGCCGGTCCGGGACCAACGGTGTCGTCACGTTTCGAAACGGCTTCCGGTCCCTGGCAGCCCTAACCGATCGGATGGTAATCGCAGAGAGGCCAGTTCGAGCAAACGGAAGCCACCGTGATCCCGAGCAGTGACTTTCCGTCAGCCATTACGGACGAACATTGCCGTTCAAGCTGATGCTAAGTGAGCTTTTATAGTCGAGGCACACGGCGAGGCGCACGTGGGTCGGTGAACTTATCGGGGGTAAGGGCGGGGCTGCCATCGCGGTCACCTGGACCGTGACGGGGTGAAAAAGCTCGATCTTGTCAACGGAAAAAATGCGGACAACGTGTGACGCAATCTCGGGTCAAATTGGAGACGCTGACCACGCCTAGAAAATCTGGCGCCCCGCGCCGCGGAATCCGGTTCTTGCATGCTCGATACGGATGAGACGATGAACAAGTTGGAGACAATAGATATTTTTATTATCTCATCTTTTTTAACTTCTTAGGTTATTTTTTGTTTTAATGTCGTTTGAGCAAGTGTTATTATTTTTTACTCTTCTCAGCTTGATATAATCTTTATTTTATTATTATTGTCTTTAAATTCTTAAAAAAGAGAACTGTAACTTTTTTATTACAACAGAATTTGATTATATATAATTATTGGAATTTATTTAAAGTTAGCCTCGTATACAGGCGAAAGCAATTTTAACGAAAATTTTGGAGATGAATAGAATCTAATAGCTATATGGTCGACTCACTTAATTTAATGTTTCCGTCTCTATCTAAAAATATAATCATTTAAATTACTTTTTACTATTAGCAAATTTTTCCTCCCTCACATTTAATTATTTCCTTCTCCAAAACTATCCCCAGTAGTATACGCGTGGAATCGTTTTGTTCGTTCAATTTTCGAACATAGTGGTACGGTTTTGATTTCCTATAGAAGTTGTAATAACAATTGCCGCAAAGAAAGAATACTATATTCTACCAGTCGTTTAAGCGAAGTCAATCGAATTTTTAGAGGCAGTTTCAGCGCTCGATTAAAAGAGGACAGGATGGAAAACGGTGCGCCATGCTTCAACAAGTGATCAACGAATACGTGGGACTCGTTCCTATAAACGACTTTGATAATCCTTTCCCATCGCGTTTCGGGCTTTGTAATGGTATACCGTTTACAGAACGTCCAGAAACGCGTCACTTCCGTGTCTAAAATGGACACCGGTGTACGAAACCTATTGGGAGACCTGTCACTGTTCCACCTACCCGTATTTTTTCCGCCGTCACCTATCTACAGGTTTCAAAATTGTGTAAAATCCTTGGAAAAATTCTACACCGCCGTAAATCGTAAAACGTCATTCGCTTTTTTCGGCTTTTTATCATGTTGTCACGTCGAAATCTGCATACAAATATTTGATGATGCCCTCGAACAGTTGCCAACATTTCGACTCCCTCGCGCGGATAACCGGAGGATTCAACGCACCTTTAAACCCGTGCGAAACATTCAGACTAAACTGTAGTTAAGAACTTAAAGCAAAAACATTATAATTCGTAGATTGTAAATGATGAAATAACAATAAAATTATAGTAACCAATAATGGTTAATAAATGAACCTAACATAAAACGTCCCACAGGCAAATAATGGCCGCAATGGGGAATCGGTAAAAACTATTTTTAAAGAACGAGGAAGAGAGTAGTGTGGCGAAGGAGATGTATAAAAAAGTCGTTACTATTCCCCACCATCGCCTATGACCTGAAAGTAATTTTCCAGGCGAGCAGGGTCGGGTACCCCGAACGCCTCCGCGGAATAGAAAAAAGGAAAAAGGGGAAACCCGTCGTGCCCTCGTAAACGAGGCGTGGCACTAAGGAGTCGACCCCCTCCGAAGAATTTTACGGAACCGAGGAACAATTATTCGAACAATCGCGTCGCGCCGGTCACCTTTGTCACCTTCGAAAGTGCACGCAACGCCCAACAATGATATTCGAAACGATCCCGCGCGCAGCGCGGCCCGTGATCCATTGCCGGCGAGGCTGGTGCCACCGTAACGCGCACGTACCGGGCTACAATGATACCGTCATTCCAGGCGACAATCGCGGGACGACAACGCGTGGGCAACGCAACCCGCTGCCTCGCCTAAACGGATGAAACAATGCAACGCGCAATAGCTCGACTCTGCCCGACTCACGTGCTCACCTAATTCATCGTGTCTTCACCACGAAAACACGGGCGAGAAAAGGATAGAGATAAGACGAGGCCGGTCTTCTTGACTACGAAGGTCGCGATGACTGGTGCACACGGGGATTGGCCGTGATACTTCTTCGCGATGACGTTTAAGAGCTTCGTGAATGAAACCTGCTACTATCGCGTTGGCGGAAATTTAATACTTCCGATTATAGGTGTTCTTTTCTTTTTGTAAACTTTTTTGGCTGGATTTAGAACCAATTGAGTAGGTGAGGCGTTATAAATGGCGGGAAGTATGGTGATATTGATTGAGTAACTTGCTGGAATGTGAAAATCATTGTTCTGTTTTGAATGAAAGGAATGAGGAACCTTTTACGCTTCAATATGTGCTGGAATTATGCGCAGAATTAGTACGAATTGCAAATTTAGGAGAGAACAAGGAAAAACGTTTGATATAACGTTCCTCCGAACTGTTTCTGAAAGAGACATTTCATTGAAAATTAATGAATTCCCACATTTAAAAGTAGAAAATAAGTGAAGGTAATAAAAAGTTTATAATGTCATTGAATTCGTCAATAACATTCTGTTGAGACAAGTTCAGAAATTTTCCTCTAATATTTTAAAACAATTCGCAACCAACCAGGCGACAAATATAAAAGCCGAAAGCCTCGTAAGCTTAGTTCTAAGCAATCAACAATTTCCCCGATCACAGCGAAGTATTCGCATACAAAATTCCTGTTTCCTCCATTGTTCTCGATCGGCAATATAATTCACCCTGGAATAAATTACAATAAATACGGCGAACAAAGCCTCTTTTTCGAGACGCGGCAGCGCGCAATTCGCTGCAGGCCCAATGAAGAAACGTTACAAACCACCAGGCCTATAGCGACGATTTTTTCCTTGTACATCATTCGCTTGCTCGTGCACGTTACAGGAACACCGTCCCCGTCCGACAGCCAGATACACGTAGGATCGAATTCCCCGCGCTATCGATATATCTTTCTGTCCGACTGAGTGCAATGCGTTCCGCAAGGTTAAATGCAACCGTAAAAACGTCTCGAAACGGATGCAACAGTTGGATATGGGGCACGTGACCCCCGTAGGCTGCGAGGCGTTAAGCGTTGTGTCGCGGGCGCGCGGCGTCGGTCTCGATGCTGATAAGCCGAGAAACAGCCACGCGCCCAGCCCGCAGAGAATGTTTGGCGTGTCCTGTGTGCCCCGCCCTTGGGGTTGGCGGGAGCACCGGCACAGACCCGAGACTGCACAACAATGCCCCTATAAAAGCACCATCGACGCCGACCGATGTCAGCACATCCACTCCAGCTACCAAGGCAATCTATTCCAAGAGCTTCGCAGCCAGCAAAACTCAAACTTCCTCTTCAACATGTGCAATCTGGTAGCGGTCTTCTTCCTCGCAGCCCTGTCCGTCGCATCGGCGGCTCCATCCGCTTTGCTGGCACACGGAGCTGCCCTTGCTGGCCCTCTTATAGGACCTGCTGCCCTCAGCGGACCCATCGCCGGACCTGCAGCCCTTGCTGGACCCGCCGTTGGCCCCGCTCGCATCTCCGGAGCGGTTGATGGCGGCGCCGTAGTAACTGGAGCCGTTGCCGGACCATCCCTAGTCTCCGGTAGCGTCGCTGGAGCTGCTGCTCCATGGGCAGCTGCTGCACCTTGGGCAGCCGCTGCTCCTTGGGGAGCTGCTGCACCCTGGGCTCCATGGGGTAAGTTTTTAATTCTTGTCTTGTTTTTCTTTGACTTCTTTTATTGAGTCTCGGTGATATTTATTAGTCAAGTGGTATTTGCTTCTGGAGCAACGTTGAATGGTTCATTATCGAGGATATTTATTCTGGTCGGGGAATATCAATCTCTAATCTTTGAACGCACCGTTTAGAGCTCGTTCTCGACAATGGTCGATAAATTCAACCACGCATGTTATGCTCTCGTTTCACTTTCGGGCGAATTAGATCGCTAGTGTAACACTGGCTTGGATTTACTAAAATCTTGTATTTTATTAGAACTACTATTTGTGGAGAGTTATTTGTAAATTGTTGGTGTCAATGCATTTACAAATCTGAGCCAATTATAATGTAGTAGAAATCCATGGGTACATGTTCTTTCCAGAAAATTTCCTTTGCATAAAAATGTTCTATTAAATCTTATGTAATTTACCGACTATGCCAAATGCGGTCTTCTTAATGGAACTAATTATGAATTTACTTCTAGGTGCCGTCTTGGCTGGTCCTGCGTCAGCACCAGCGGCCCTTGCTGGTCCCGTTGCCGCGCCAGCCCTTATTGCCGGACCATCTGGTAGCATAGCGGCCGGGCCAGCCGGAGTAGGCGGAATCGTTAGCGGGGCTCATCACTGGTAATCATTCAAGCCGGACTCCCATCCCAACATCTTCGACTGATCTCCCCCGATGCCCACCATTTTGAAACCGACCGCGCCACGATCTCCGTCATATACCGCTAGTACCTCCTATCACTGTATCTCTCATATGTATTCTGTGTACATAACAATACCTCATATATTTTGTTATATGTAATAATAAAAGCATGCAACTTTGGAGAGGAACAAAATAGTTCATTTTTATGTGTTGACTATTCCTTTAATAGTGGCATCTTTAGTCTGAGCAGTCAATCAAAATATTTCTGTAGAATTGTACACTTCCGTAGAAGCGAGTTGAATAAAGGCATATACTCTTCAACACGTCTTAACTCTTAATTCTCGAGTAAATGATTCGAGCTGTTGTTTCCAGCTTTTACAACAAAAATAAATGCACCTCTGTGAAACAAGATTAAAGGAAACGTAGGTTTGTGAGTTCTAAGTGTTCTTTAGATTTTGATTAATAGATTCTCCGAATGCTCTTCAAATTTTGAGATATAGATTCATGAACGATTTATGGGTTCTAGATATTTTTCAGTATTTTGTCTCTAAAATCATCGACATTGTTTTATAGATTCTAAAAATTCTTCAAAACAGATTTTATAGAATCTTCGAGACGCTACTTAGCATTTAATCTGCACATTTAGCACCAGTACTTTTGCTCAATTGTAATTTCAAAGTATATACCGTTCAGAACTCTCTTCAACTTCCGAATGCTCTCCAAAATATACAATTCCTCATTACATCAGTAGGAACTTCCTTCAGAAACAAAGTTAAGACGGCATACAATACGGATGTGAAAGAGGCCAACAATAATTGCTCTCGTGAACCTACGTCGGCACAAAAATCTCGGGTTAAATGTTAAGCACGCCAACCGGTTACAGCGTGAGCCTAGTTTCGACAATTCGAAACGCAATTTGTATACATCAGTGTTGACACGATTTCATATTTGAAGGATCAAAGGCGAAGGAGGTGCATGTCAGCTCAAGTCGACATTAGTTCGCGATTAAAGCCGGACCGATTAGAAGCCATTGTTCTACGAGGCACCGTGTCACCCGCGGACTGTCGACACCGGTGCGCGCGGCCAGCCTCTATTTCGCGGCCCATTGTCCCATCACCAGCGTCGAGTCGCAACCGTGGGACGATACCTGTCCACCTTTGCCGGTAATTGGAGGAAATTGCTTCAACGCCGCTCCAATCAGCCGAGTATTCTCTGTACGAGGGCCGACAGCACCGGATCCTCCTGATATCCGACCGTTTCCCTTCACCGGCTTTGTACGCCGAGCCTCTCTTTCTCTCTCTCTCTCTCTCTCTCTCTCTCTCTCTCTCTTTCTCGAGCCGCATCACTGCTGCGACCCTTTAATCTCCGTTTTCAATCATACTCCGCTGGAAAACGCGCCGTAAAAGACGCGCCGCGAGTCCCGCGGTTTCCGGCGTGCGAAAAGCTCGGAGGAAATTATCAGCGCATCACCATGTCAAAGGAACGGACGCTCCGGCCGGGAGCAACAAGTCCAGCCGGCTCGTCAAATTGGACAGTTTGTGCACGAAGTGGCTGGAATCGTCTTTATTAAGGAAGAAGCCGAGATCTCCGTTCCCGCGGCGCGCAATGAAATATGAAATTCCGGTTCTCGGCGGAGCTTCGACAGGCTTAACCATCGGCCGCGTTCTACAAATATTTGAATGTTTGCCGCTGCACTCGGTATTTACTTGTGATATTGCGTGAAATTGGAATTGCTGAATATGGACTTCCGACGTTAGCCGTGAAGGAGGAAGCGCAGGGGAAGAATTCCTCTGAAATTGAAGCGGGCATTAATGTGCTGCTGAACGATGTTTGAGTGGTTTAAGTATTCGTTTTTCGAGGTACTAGATCTCTTTTGACGCAGTAATCGTTGCATGTTGGTAAATAGGACATTTAATAACTTAATGGAGGTTGTTTCAGATGATTCTGTAGGAATTGCTTGTTTACTTGGTGTTTGAAGAGAGGTTGCTTAATTTCTTTGATTGTTGAGAGATTTTTGTTATCGCTGCGTGTATCGCCCTGAAATTTAGAGTAACTTTAATGAGCCATTCTGTGCGTAGTAAAGAATTCTAAAAATGTTTCTTGAAATGCTAATGTAATATCTGAGAGGTGGTTACTGAGCCTCTACTTGAAGTACAATTATGCAAGAGGCTCTTAACGTGCTGTAAGCACCTTTATAGCGCAATCAACTGATTATTTTCATAATTTTTTTTTCGTTAGGAAAGATAATTTCCGTCGCAGAAATAAATTCTAGCGTGTTGCAATGCGGATTATAGACATGTAATATAAATTGCGTCATGTTTTGAATGTATAATTCTGCATTGAAGCTAAGTAATTTCGATGATGGAAGGATGATTCTTGTTCCGACACGGTTTATTTGGGTGTGACACAGCCGTCGGTGCGAGTATATTTATAGTATGAACAATTGTGCTTGCTCATGTCTAACATAATATAAGTAAATTTTGGAATCGTTTTATCGATAACTGCACTTTACAATCGGGTGTCATAACTGACCAGCAGTTGACATATTAAAAAACGGCAGCTCAACCACTTGAACCCCGAGCGCGCAGCCACCGGTACCCTTGCAGGTCAGGAGGGACGACGTGCCCCCACCACAAGTAATGTGGGTGTAGGTTAAAAAACTGTCATCGACAACACCCCGATCGTTCGGTTTTCCGATTTGACACTAAGGACACCGCCCTACACCACTACTTTTATATATAGAGAGTTAGACTCACGATAAGGCAGACATGTAGACAACACAAATTAATTACAAATCACCCTGGACTCACTGGACAACACACACGCACTTCAACTTTGTACACACATATACACACTCCTTTCACTCATTATCTCGGGACTCGGGAAATAGATTCCGAATTAGAAATTCACAATTCTTCCCCTGCCAAAAAATCGAGGCGACGTTGGAGTCGGGAATTAGCTCCACCCTCGAAGTTTCCAAGGGGTAACGTCTTTCTGAAGACGAAGATAAATAAAGCGGAAAGGCGCGAGGAAGCAGATTACCCGTTCTGCCTCCGAACACTCGTCTACATAAATAAATAACTTGCAAACATATTTGTCACGAGTATTCAATAACACCTTACATCGCGACAGAAAATAATAAATCTTCATTAAAATGTTGCCATCTATTATAACACATATCATAATTGATATCGGACTTATAAATTCGACTTATAAATTCGAATTCAAATAATTATGCTTCCTTAAACGATCAACTAAATTACGTAAGAATTTCTCACGCTTGCAAAACAACGACTAACAATAAATAAAAAATATCAATCTAATGACTGACTTGCTGCTTTAGATGATCGTCATTTCAGAAACCAACAGTAACAAAATAAGCTCACATAAATAATCCACTCCCAATGACGCAACATTACTTCGAATATCCTCATTCAACATCAAACCCAGTTACATCAACAATAAACAAAGATACTGCAAGTTAGTCGGCAACAGAAAACTCACCCATCTCCTCCATCTATTTTGAAGACGATCCCCCGTCATCCGTCAGACGTCTCCATCAACGATCACGCTCGTCGCTTGACGTTGCCCATAAGGCGGGCGGGTTTCGCGGCGAGTGGCGGCGCGTTATGAATCTGTGGAAACGAGGGGCGCATCCGGGATGCAAATTACCTTTCCGAAACGGAGAGTTCCCGTCTGCGAAATCAAGCTGGGGTGCAACAAGTACGCGCGGTCCTTAAATCAAATAGTCGTGCGCCCTGCGAGACAAGGTAAATTCAATCAGCCGGGGGCGGCGGGATGATAACAGTTAATGTCGGTTCACGTAAACGGACGAAATTTATAGTGCGACGGTTAATCGAATTTGCGGGATCGAGCCGAGTGCCGCGCGAGATACCCGCGCTCAGCACTGGGTGTAATTAATCCGCGACGCGACTCCGCGAGGGGACTACGCGACGTCTTTCCGCCCCGGCCGTTTAACAGCATACGCACACACGTGTGCTGCAGGAATTCTTCCGTATGGAAATAGGTCGTGCCCAGTGGTTAACGGCACGGCGTGACATTTTCCCGCGGAAAAATCGAAGCAAAGCGGGAGACGCAATTCAGGGTCGACTAAGGGTATAAAAGCTGATATCGTGGGGTTAATTGGCAGTACAACAATTAGCCTTACAGCTACCGCAGTGGAAAAACCGCAGCAGCAATCATGAAATTCTTGGTAAGACTTCTTTGTCGTTTGATACTCGCTCTTTTGTTCGGGATCCTGTTAATTGGCTAGGGTATCGAGTGTACTTGTAATAAACGTTTACGTGGCTGACGTGTCTCTTTGTACTTGCATGTTTAAAACTGTTAGTAAAGTGCTGATTGATCGAATTGATTATATAAAATCTGTTACATGTATTTATGAAAGATATATGGAAGTTTGGTAATACGTTTAATAAAGATTTATACAAATTTTATGAAACCTTCTAGGTGTACATGAATATAACGTTCACGCCATTTTCAACATATCAATAAGTTTGGATGAATTTTCATATGAATAGTAACCATCTGTGTTATTAAAATTTTTAAAATGAAATTTATTATAAATAGTCATCAAATGATTCAAAATATATCTACCTTTAATAAATTTCTAAATGTAATCCAATAATGAACACATTCAATAAATCTAAGTTGCCTAAACATACTGCTGTCCAATTGTATAAATAAAGGTATTATTAATGAAAATTTAATGTTATTTCCACTAGGCCATTTTCGCAGCGATCGTTTCGGTCTGCGCCGCAGCCCCTAGCGCAGTTTGGGCTCCAGCCCTAGCAGCCCCATCTGTAGCTGTTGCTGGTCCAGTTGTCGGCCCAGCAGTCGTTGCTGGTCCGGCAGCAGGAGCCGTGAAAGTAGCTGGACCCGTAGCTGGGCCAGCCGTTGTCACTGGTCCTGTAGCTGGACCATCTGTTGTCACAGGTGCCGTCGCTGGACCTACTCTCGTTTCTCAACCCGGTGCTGTTGTCGTTGGTGAGTGACTTATTTTTTGTCATACTTTTTACCAACATTATGTATTTATTCACCAGTTCACATTGCTTGTGCAAAGAACGAAATTAATTTGGATACATACATTACAACATAAAGTAACATTCGGTATATTAATTAGAGTTCTTTGCTGCATTTTTTATATAATCTTTTGAAACAAACGATGATAGAGAACCTTCTAACTTTTGTTCAATATTGTTCAAGCCTTTGATTCTAGTTGGCAATGAATGATTCATTTTTTTAGGAGGCGGACTTGTTACCCCTGCAGTTGTAGCTGCTGCTCCTGCGGTCGTCGCTGCTCCTGCTGCCACGGTCGTCGCTGGCCCAGTAACGTCCGCGGTCGTCGCGGGTCCAGCAACATCTGCGGTCGTCGCGGGCCCAGCAACATCTGCGGTCGTCGCAGGCCCAGTTGCTAAAGCTGCAGTGATTGGTGCCTCTTCCTCGGCTGTAGTTACTGGAGTTCACGGCTGGTAATGAACTAGGAGGAAAACAAAGTCACACCATATACCTCGTACATGACTCAGATCTACATTTACGGTTTTATACCCTCTTTCCTATTGATTTGGCACTGCCAATGTATACGGAACATATACGCTTCTATATCTATTTAAATATGTAATTATATAAATAAATAATATTGTACATTTATCTCTGTCAACATTAATCGGTTATTTCCAATGATGTTCACTCACCTGGAGTTCCTTGAGGAATATGAACTGGTAGGTTCAAGAGCGTTGATTTTGAATCGATGTAATATGGATCATCTAAAATTCCTGACACAATTTGGAATAACGTTTTCCTAGTTTTTCTTAGTAGAGTCTTCCTTCATTGCCACAACCGTAGACGAAAACCTATTTAAACATTCATCGTCACCGTAAACATACGAAAATTTTGTTTTATAAACACTGTTACCTAAAAACATAGAAAATCAACGATTCTCTTACGTGAAATATCTCCAGTATACCATAAAACACTTGCATTATATCGAACAAACTATTCCGTCAATAGAAACAATTAGCAAAGCAAAGAATGCTAACAAACGCGTTAAAATAGAGATGTTCGCGAATCCATTTCCGCCACGCTAACGAACGAAAGGGCAGATTTCGGCGTTCCTGTAGCGGCGCTGAAGTCGCTAATTGCTTTAACCGTTTCCGAAGCCTTGACGATTCACCGTTCCGGAATTCGAAGTGCAACGCCCGTCCGGGGCGTACGCTCAATACATTACGAATCAGCATCCAGCCAATCGTGGGTTAACTGCGCCCTCGCACAAAAAGGCACGTACGAATAATTTTGCAACTGCACACGATTTGCAGCGGAACGCGCTTAGACAACTCCCGTTACGATCCCTCTGGCATCCCCCTCATGAATATTTCAGCGCGCACCTCTGCCGTGGAACAAGTGGGAACGCTGGAAACTGGGGAAAGAAGACGGGTTTTGCACCTGTGTGCGCGCTGTTCCGTTTCTGCCGTTGCCCACGCGAAAAATAACGAAACCGGGCGGCCAGGCAACAATGCCCAGCCGAGCGGCGACGCAATTATGCAGTCATAATCGGTTCACTGTCAAGTACGGCGTTCGACAAGTCGACCGACCGGATAACCGATTGTCTGTCTCCACTATCCCGTCCCCGGTGATACCAATGCGCCGCCCGGTAGCCGCGATCATGAGAGTGGAACGGATTTTCTCCTCAAGGATACGTAACGGTCCTCCGCCTCGCAACGGAATCCCGCACAGACTGATGTCGGATATGATAATCGGTGGCGCAATACATGTGCGACATTATCGATGATGAAACGCGAAGGAAGTATATCAGCTTGACAGCTTTGTTTAGCGTACCCCGTTGGAATGCACCGGATTCAGTAGAAAGTCCCCACTGATCTTTCTACGAAGGGTAACTAGTATACTGCGGATATTTCTTGCGGATTTTTGAGAGTCAAATGCTGACTCTGCAGTTAGTGCTGATATAATATGTAGGATTATTTGGAATTAAATATGTTAATTTTGTAATTCGTTTTAGTGATCATTTCTTTTCCTTTCATTCTGGATCAATGATCACCAGTGATTTTAATTGATCAGGAGAGCAATTAGAAAAGCATTTATAGTGTCTGAGAACTACCTAATGGATTGTCATGGATATCTCAAATCTTAGATCTCTTGAAAACATTCATTAACACTAACACTGATAAAATATAAATACAAGAAAAATATATAGAAAGAAGAAGAAACCGACTGTAACTTCTAATCATCGATTTGAAATCATTTGGAACAATTCGAAACGATTGAATTAGTTGCATTGCAATTGAACGTATCTAGAGTATCCTGCTCTAGTTAACTGCTGCGCTAGTTAACTAGCCAACCAACTGTCGATTAATTAAGCGTAATTTTGTCCTTCAAATACGTCGAATAATAGCATGCCCCGGGAAACTGGCATAACAGTGCAGAATCAAATGTTTGAGTCTATATCGTGCGTGTGCGCAATGTCGCCTATACACTGTACACCCACAGCGGGTGAATACTCTGAGTTCAACGTGAACCATCCTATACGCGTTTACTTCTCTATTCACGTGTCCACACTGTCGACATAATACATGCCAGGATTTCATCGAGCGAATCGTTTACCAAGATCCGTTTGCGGTCAGTGTTAACGAGCTAATCGTTACACTCACCTAATTATAGTCACCGCTGCCATCTGATGGATTCGTGCCCACTGGCAGAACCTCTCTTCATTCATAAACTGGCATATTAATGCCAGATTTTTACAGTGATTACTGTTATAGATGAACAGTTCCGAAATGTGTGATAGAATAGATACATAGGTATGTGATTAAATTAGAATTCAGATGACGATCTTTCAAAATGAATGCAATGGGTATGCAAAGGTAACTATTGTTAGACGTATCTTTAAATATGATTAAAATTCTGTTATACACAAAATGTTTCTATAAAGATGTTTTATATGAAATTTAAATGGTTTCAAGAAGAAAATAAATTATCAGATAATCTCTTCTGAAATATTTTGTTTAATTCCCTGAAGATAATTTACATTCCATTAAATTTGAACATTCTTTTGTTATGAAGTATAATTGGCTTTTAAAAAAATTGTTTGATAAATCAAAATAATGACATTTGTAAATTCCTACTGCAACCTGTTTTACATCATATGTATTGTATTTTTTCGTATGTGTGTTTACATGTATTTTATAGCATATAATTTTCATATCATATGTAATATTATAGATGGCAGCGCTAATTGTGGCCAAAAATTAGAGAATAGTGTGATAGATTATTTTTTTTAATGCACTCATCCCTGGCACTCATCTTCCATTCGATGGTTCAACTGATGCAAAGTATTCTGTATCACGGCCATTAATCCAACCTCAGCAATAATTTAATGCAGCAGTGGAATACCTATACCAGCGTAAAGATGAAAACGTATTTTCAGCAATTTGCCAACTCCAGTGATCGTGAAATGTAATTTTAAAGATGGACGGCTCCGATTCGATTCGATCTGATTTGATTTCATAAACGAGAAACATATTCCACGCGCATGTATCTATTCACATACCGGTGGGAGCGAAAAAAAATTGGTTCAAGCCAATTGGATCCCTCCAACCGGCAGATATATATTGCGTTCTAACCTTCTATCCATCACCAATTTTCGATCGACCTGTTTTCCTTCCCCAGCCAAATATTAATCAAACTCGTACGACTTGTTACCTTTTTTAACTTTAAAACTAACACGATGCCGTCAATTGTTTAATTCGAACTTATATACATAACGAACTATGGAAAAGGTTATGATTATGATTCATATCTTATATATAAAAGTTATGATTTATATCTTTTTTTAATGATTCAGTTGACATACAATAATATGTAACTATTATAATGAATAAATACATTTTTACTTAAATCGACTGAATAATTGATAAATGTCTTATACGACACTTTATTACTATTCCTACGTGAAAAAATCAAGTTATTGTTCCATAGTTAACCCTTAACTGCTATAGACATTCAAACTGACAGAACTACTATAAAAACAATTATAAACAAATAAAACCACAATGTGCCTCTTAGTTGTTTCTAATTTCATTAACCCACTCAAACTTGATTTTTATAGAGTATTATTTTCACTTATCTAACAACAATGGACCGTCATTAAATACACCACCAGTAGCAATATTATTTCATATAAAATAATGGTAGTACATTACTTTTCTAATAGAAATAGGCTTAAACGAATGATATATACATGGTTCCCCGTCATAGTTTTAATATTCTGTCAGATATTGTAGTAACAAAACAGTGCTCATTACAATGTGTGCCGGGTCTGAAGGGATTAAGAAAAAAATCAGACGAACGCAAAATTTTCGTAGAATTACCGAGATAGTAAAAAGTGGGACAACGCAATGTCACGCGGAAATAAGGCCAGAAAGTTCACGATAATCGATGTCCTTTGCTACACAGAGTAGACGAACCGTCGAAAGCGCCGGGCAAATATTCTTCAAACGGCACCACTTCCAACAAACTCGTCACAAAGGGCGGAACTTTTCAATATCTCTACTTCGTCGTGGCCTGTGAAGCCATTTCCGGCAGACTCCCGGAATCTCTGATCGTTTTGTGACCCGAGGCTGATGCGGATCCATAAGAGGGCGCGAATTTGAACGGATATGGAGGAAAGTCCCGTTGACAGAGGTAATTTCGAATGGGGCCAAATGCGACCTACGCTGGTCCAATTTTACTTCCGTTTCGACTGCTTTGCGATGGTAACTCGAGTTACTCGACGAAGCAATGAAAAAGTCTCTCGAACGGGGAACGACGGTACAATGGATGAAATCCGCGAATATTAAGTTACGAAAACGATTCATCCGACCGAATGACTTTATAACGCACTTCTTGGTACTTGACCTGGGAAGACGAGTTAACTTTTCGTTTGTATTTTTCGGTATCTTTCAATTCTCCCTCGTTTATTTGATAAAAAATTATACATTCTTGTAACATCAAGTAATAATACAATTTTACTTATATTTATACTCATTTGTGCTTACATAGGTTTTAATGATCGAAAATCACCTGGTTAGATGTATACTAGGTCTGTATAAAATTTTATACAAATAATTAATCAAATGACACTTTTATTTCAGTTTTTATTTACTGTATTACATTGCCTTAGTAAGTGTCAATTTAATATTTAATAGTTAGCAGTTTTTTAGGAAGAATCTCACTTTTATAATTATTTATATATAGAGTCTTACTATATAGTACTGAATTCGTCTCGGATTAGAAGTTCTCATGGGAAGATCGAGTGGAAGTTTTCGCAAAATCGCGAATGGCTCAAGTGTAGTGCACAAATTCGAGTCTAGAAACGGCATAGCTTCAAACGGATCGCAATTCGCTGGCTGGTAAATCCGGCGCATGCAATTACATCAGTGCAGATTGTCGGCGTCAGATTCAAAGGAATGGATTATCGTATCCATCGTGGAAAAATCAGTGGAACGTCGCTTGGCGGAAAATGCTCGGCTAGTCGCATTCGAAATAAAAGAACGATCAGGATTGTCCTATGCACCATTTTGTTTGTTTTTTTGTCACGATGCGCTTGCTGTTCAATGTCCGTTTGTATGTATGCGACTTGAATGTTTTGTGATCCATTGTGCCATTCTGTGCGCATTTCACAACGAAGAAGTTTTCCGTTTCTTTTTTGTTTTTAATTACATGACAACGTAAAGACACTTTTGCCCGATTTTAATTTAGAGGCTTTCGTTAAAGTAGATAAAACAAACTTTGCTTATTTTAGTAGAAGGCTCAATGTCATGTAGACTGCCACGAGAAAGTTTTGATAATAATAGTTATTACATTTTTTTGTTTCCAATGCGACAAATAATCAGTATAAATTATTTTATTTTCCTTCACGAAAACAATGTACACTTATTTCTTAATGACAAATTGTTTCAAATAAAGTGTTGTTAAATAAAATAGATTGGCAATAGATTGTGGCCAAACAACATGGTCACTCCAACGATGAATATAACCATTAAGCTGAAATATTCCAATTATGGAAATATGTCACGCAACATTTCCTTGTTTCAAAATCGATCGTAAATGTGCGTGCATATTAAAATTTGCATCGACATGGGAAATTGATTGTTCCCTACAATTGTACGAAACTGTTTCATAGAAAAACATGTTATGATGCCGTTCGTCGAGTGGAAATTGCAAATAGCCGGGACCACGGGAATTTCGTGATTTAGTCCGTAATTACAACAGCGAACCACAGTTATTAGTGTTTATCGAAAGGGTATGCTCGAGAGTTCCGTTGCGGAGAATGAGCTGCGAACGAGATCATCAGCAAATTCAGAGCAGCGGGCATTGCTGACCACCGGGAAAATTCTGTTCACTCGCAACAACCGTTGTAACAACCGTTATTGCGGTAACAGGCGGCTGTCTATTCGAGGCCGAATCGCGTCCCCGAGTGATAACAGCTCCTGGCCGTGACGTTGGATCCGGAACTGGCGTCGCCTACTGCAATCCTGTCCATCAGTGACCGCACCCTGGAACGCTTAATATTTCTACTTTCATGCGGGGTTGAAGGTTGCCCCGCCACCTTTTTCATTGTCACCAGTTGAGTATATAAGGCATCGTTTCTGAGGGGTTAAGCATCAGTCACAGCCCGCCTGAAGACTACTAACAAAACAATCATCATGAAGTGTTTGGTGAGTTCTGAGACGAATGCATTACCAACATAATGCAAATAGTATAACCCTACTGCTGTAGTGATAATACATTAGCAAAAGAATATGTTTTTTGTCAAGTGAACACTCCTTAAATTTTTAAACAATTATGTAGTATACGAGCATTTTCATTATATTGTGCAAAATAACTATTTGTTTAAATATTTATGTTAAGTTTATATATTTTTATTTGATAATTATATTTTAGGGTTTCATCATAATTTCTAGAATATATGTGCAACACAGTTTTTCAACAGAGAATTTGATAAAAAATAATTACATACAAAAGCAATTATTTACAAAATTGTATTTTTGAATTGTACGCGACTATATAGTACTCTACGCAGACAGTTATATTATGCTTAAAATTTTAAAACCAAACCTGTACTTTCATTTCTATATATTTGCTACAATCAATTATAAATGTTCGAATGCAGTTAATTTCCTCATTAAAAAATGTAAAATTAATTTTGCTAAATTAAGTCAGTCTATTAAAGGTAACATCACGTGACAAATTAATATATCATAGATTTCATTCATAACACTGCTACATTTAGAATTACTGGAAATTATCTATACACTTCTTATAAAATCTCAGTTCTACCGCCTCACTTCGCCTGAACACAGGGCAAATCATTAAACTCTGTCACCAACATTTATTCCTTATCATATAAAAAAGGAATTCAAGAAAACTTGTTTAGTATAAAAAAATAGTAACTACAGTTGATGATAAAGATACACTTGATCTATTTGATACCATATAGCTTCCATTTAAAATTTAGGAGACACAATAAATGATTCAGTCTTTATACTAACCAAGTATCATACAAAAATCAAATTTCCAGGTCGCCCTCGTTGCCGCTTTGGCCATCGTCTCCGCTAGCCCGGACCGTGAGCGTCGCTCGCTCGCTTGGGGATCGCATGGCGCCGTAGTCCTCGGTGGTGCATTGCCCGGCGTGGCTCTCGCGGCTCCGTGGGCTCCCGCGGCGGCTGTTATAGGTCCCGTCGCTGGATCCGCGGCTGTCGTTGGGCCTGCCGCAGGCCCGACCGCCGTCGTTGGACCAACTGCTGGTTCTGCCGCGGTTGTTGGGCCCTCTGCTGGTTCTGCTGCCGTTGTAGGACCGACTGCCGGTAAGTTCTTTATCATATCTCACAGAACTATCTGTAACTGCGAGAATTAACGTCAGAAGTGTGACTATTGCGACAGCTTCGCACCTGTACAAGTTTAATTCTACAACCAAACTAGACGCACAAGAAATTAAGTGACATTTAATCGGGCTATATATTAACTTTGCACTTGTTTCAAGTAATCAGAGTTTCAATGTTAATGAAATAGATAATATACAAGCGTGATTTTTAAACTAAACTGATTGTTCGAGAATTTAAGTGGCATTAAATTGTGCTATATATAAATTGTTTTTCAATGCATTAAAGTTTCAATGTTAATGTATATATATATGATTGATTTCAAAACTACAGTGGTTGTTCCAAAAATTAATTGACGCTAAATCGCGCTGTATATAATTTGTTTTTCAATGAATTATAATTTTAGCGTTATCTCAGTAGATAATGTGATAACTTGCTGTATGAACATCTCGAATGTTAAAATGAACACTATTGTTTTCAAAGGATCCGCGGTTGTGGCTGGTCCAGCTGGAGCTATCGTAGCTCCTGGACTTTGGTAGAACCTGAAGATTTCCGATTCGGCCCCGAGAGCATACGACAACTGAAAGGATCTCCCGTCAATATGCAAGCGACTTCTCATTCGACCGTCAACCCCGCGACTTCAATCGACGAACAGTCGGGAACGATTCTCTAGTGTTTTCTGATCTGGAACCGACAATTTAATCGCCTTCGTCGATCCGAGCCGATGCGTTCGGGATTTTTCGAGGTTCTTCTGTGGAATGTCCTCCTTGTACTTAGCCCTGCCCCCATTACGCTTTTATACGACAATAAATGAAGCTCCACTATACTTGTTTCCGTTTACTTTTAATCCAGCCACCTCTAATCCCCGAAAGTATAGTCCCAGCTCGAGCCAGTAGTTTTAAAACCACTTGAATGTGGCTGTAAAAGTTATCGAGTCCTCGTCGTCCTCACAGAACCAGTTGTTCCAGTTTTTAATTACTTCGGATTGTTAAACGTATCGCGGCCGCACTGCGATCCGTAGGCGCGGCCAATGAAAGGCCGCGTAAAATAATGGATTAGCGGAGCTTAACCGCCTCGGAGTGGACCACCGTGGTCAAGGAATTGTAATTTGTTCAACCAGTTTCGATAAATCGATATCCAGGGCGGTTTAGATGTTGGACAGGTTGCAGCCGTGAATGATATTCTGAAATACGAGTTCCGTTTCAACAAGGAACAAAAGCTATTTGCTGCTACACGTATACGGTACAGTTTCGGGAACTGAAATGAACAAACGGGTAAAGTTTTATGATTGATGAAGAAGGATATTTCTTTAAATAAGATGTTCGATAAATATATAGGGGAAGAAAAATGTTCAGCTGTGTCCTGGATTTTTTATTTATTGATAGTTTACTGATATATCGAGTAGAAAACTATTTAAATTGACCAATATCTTTATAGAGAGCTAATTATAAAATATATTAATGTAATTAGTTTTTAATTCGGTATATTAGCAAGTGAAGACGATTGTCTTGTGAAAAGTAATATTACGGGCAAAGTTTGAACTTAATTCGCTCGAAACTTCTAAGTACTAATATTGAAGAAGACTGGGAAGATTATACCTACTATCTTTTGTATGAAATCGGTTAAGTAATCGGTTAAGGAATTACTTATACACATCTTAGAAGTAGTAAATATAATATAAATACAAGTAGGAAATAAATTAGTATTTGCTTGCAAGTCAAGATTATGGAACATCATTAGCTCGCACAACATATTATCAGGATATATTTAATACTTTTAACGAGGGTGACGATAAATATTCTTCAGTTTCTTCAATATCTGCAGAATGTCAAATAATTCCTTGAAACGGTGAATAATTTTCATATATTCTACTTCATAAAGAAAAATACATGTTCATTTTTATATTAATTTTTATTCATGCATGAAAACTGTTTTATATTCGTCTTTACCACGAATGAAAATATTATTTTTTTTATATGCAATAACTAAATAATTCTTATATAAATACATTTCTTTGAACGGGAATGTTTTACTAAGGGTAATAAAAGAAATTGACTATCAATTACAAACAAGTAATCTATATTACATTCATTATTAACCTTTTAGGTACGGCGCGCTTGTCCACAAGTGGGTACCCCTAGTACGGCGCGCCTGGCCGCGGATGGCACAAAAACCATTCATAACGATTTCCACTACGACGTTACTTGGGAATAAAGTTTTAAATGAATAAATTATGATTTATTTATATATTTTCAGGTAACGGCATCGAAAAACTTTATTAATTTATTATTATTATTATATGCGACATGTTAATTATAAGTTTTTCTATGTGTGGTATATTTTAAAGCACGGACCGACGCAGAGTCCCACACTACAGTCATCACATTGGTACCGCGATCCTCGGCTTACATTGTTTTTTGTGCATACAACATAATTTACTCGCCCACATCTCTGACACGTGTACTCTTCAACGACAGCTTCGATATTGCCAGGAAATGTGGTTTAGGCTAAACAAATGAGAAATAAAGCAAAAAACGTATAATACCGTCCAAAATCATGACATCGACGAAAGTCACTATAGTGTCGTACCGTCAAAATTTCTTGCGATCCACGAAAGCCATTATAGTGGCGTTCCGTAAAAATAGAGAGTCTCGGCAGAAGGCTACTGGCGTACCGCACCAATTGATGCCATCCGCGGAAGTCACTATAGTGGAATACCGTACCTAAAAGGTTAAGTTAATAATATGTAAATAATAATATTCCAGTTTATAATACTAATAACAAATTCTATTTCAGTGGACTAATTAGACACTGTGAATTAAACACTGTGAGGACGTATAACAATGTTAACTCCATTATAATGAAAAGAATATCAATAAATAAACATTGCGTTAAATAATCTTTATTGAATATTAAGTATTTACATTAAACTCTGGGGACTATTGTTCCATCACTTAATATTGTTGTACACAATATCCATTACATCGTCAACATTGTAAATGCATAATTAACTAATAAAACAAGGGTATATATACCACGAACACGAACTGCTTCACCATCCCTCGCATAATGTGTATTGTAAATTAGTATGTATCTAACATGTAATATAACAATGAAACATATACGCTACTGTAAATGCTGAACATACACCACCGTGTATGAACAGAAATCAATAAAGAGAACGAATGTCAATTGAATTTCGTACGAATCCTTGTAGCAATATTCATGTTCGAGTCGCTTAACAATAGAAGGAAAAACAGGGTGAATGAAGCCAAAGCGAATATTAAGTTTTAAAATAAGTTTATTATCTGATGCTAAAATTTCTATTATAGGTAAGGGGGGGAATAAAATTTTCCATGGTGCCAATCGTAAGGGGTTGGACGAAATTGCTGCCGGAATAGGGTTGTCGGGAATCGTCAGTCGCCGAATCCGAATTTTGGGCAATGAGAGTTCTCTGACCGTGGAACTTCATTGTAATACTTCAGGTCCAGTTACGCCGGGATATTAAATGGTATTTACCAAGCTTTGAGTCCCCAAGGGGCGGCAGCGAGAGCAGGGGCGGCTACAACAGCGGCTGTTTCAGATAACAAAAGTATTTACACGATGAAAACCAACGAGATTAAACCAAGTGAATTTCATAATAACTCTACTTGAAGCAATTGAACAAGTTTCATTCATGAATTATAATCATGCTATATATAGTACTTATATGAATTATGCAAATGAAAAAAAAACTTATACGTGAATACAAGAAATAATGCAAAAGATTCTAGGTTTTAAGAAGTGAAACTGAAATTACCATTAATATTAATTTTAAAAAATATTGACATAAAGAGATACTTACGTGCCGCAAGGAGCTTAGGGGCAGCAGCAACAGCGATGGGAGCAGCGGCGATTTTGGGTCCAGCGACCCATGGGGCAGCAAGAGCGGGAGCAGCGAGGATTCCACGACGTTCGCGTTCCTGTTCGGGGAAGGCGGCGACGATGGCGAAGATAGCGAAAAGGATCACCTATAATTAAACAATTGCCTCATAACAGGTCACCACAAGTACAATCTGTGTGTCACTTCCAGTCTGATGATCGGAAGACGAACAACCACTCGGTTCTTCGCTGACAGTAGTAATCGATTACCGTGGAAGTAACCGAATTACCCAGAAATCAGAAGACGGTGTAGGTTGTCTTACCAAGGATTTCATTTTGTTGGGTTGGTTTGGGTTGCTTGAGATTCTTCGAACTCGAAAGTGCAAGCGACTGATGAAAATCCCAGCATCGACTTTGTCTTTTATACTCTATTTTCCTACCTATACAGAGGTAGCTGGGCATACGTCATCCACCCCGTACGAATGCGTGTCAGTCCGTTTTCCATAGCAGCCGGCCGGCGCGCGGCCGATAGCGCGCGGCCGTGTCGCAGGAGCGGGCGTGGTCAGGGACTTGAATCCGTAAATCAAGACACCGATCTGAAACGATGAACTCGCACCACGGTAATGTTGCATCAGAAATCTCGATGGCGGCGCACGCAACGCGCCGCGAATGTTGCAGAAGTTTTCAAGCGCGGATCGAAACGGGGTCGACGATATTTGCATATTTCACTGGTGCGCTGGGTATTTTTTCACTCCCTGCCCGCCGGCCGCCATAGTTCGTTGTGTTGTTGCCAACCTGTTGTCCACGGAATGATGCCGGTGGAACAACGAAGAAAAAAATCCCGGGTGGCGGGATAGAAAAATCGCGGGACTCGTTAGGATTTAGGGTACGACTATAAGATGCAATCCGTGGCCGGTATTGCGACATCGACTTTCGATTCTGCGTGAGACGGCCTTGAATAAGCGCAACCGATAGCTAAAATGTGTCGATCGCGATACTGAAAAGCAGGAAATGCTGCCTTGAAAGTCCAGTTCAACGTTACAACATAGGAAAGCAATTGCCCGTGTCCACTGAGCCTCCGATACAACTTTTATTTTCACCGTATATTAATTTATCCTCTCTAGCCGCTGGTGAGTAATACCGTTTAATTCTGCGTTTGCGAAACAACGGTCTATGCTGATTACTTTCATCTTTCTACCTCGCGAATCGCTGGAAGAGCCCGCTTTGTTCTGGACGGCATCTTGTCGCAGTCTTCTTATTTCCTTGCCTCAAGAGTAACGGCTTTGTGAACGGAGAAACAACCACGAGAAGATCCTTCGAGAAGAGAGATTTATTCATTGCCAAGTGTTCCTTCAACGATTTGTCGTTGCGCCGCGACTAAAAGGGGCATTCAACGCGAATTAGTCGCCGACAAATGTCAGTATGTCAGCTGTCCGAAACTCGTCCGCGCAAAATGGCAGCCGATTGTCTGGGTTACAGTAATCTTAACAGGGATTTGAGGCAGATTGGTTTCAACATTGACATCTGGCTCTAATCTGTGTCGCGTTCCAATAATCTGTACGTAATCGAAGTATTAAAGTCTTTACATGAATACACCTAGGCGATAAGAAATAATAGCCTTGCTCAATTTTATATTACTTGCATTCACGTTCTTATATTCCATGTGATTATAGAATCGTCTCGTTCTGAACAGAGCTACTTGAACGGCAACAAAGTAGCTAGAATGTTCTGATATAACCGTCTGAACGATCATGCCTTTGTTCCGGTTTCTAACGCTTGGAATTCCCGAGAGACCTGTCAAAGGAAAAAAAAGGGGCAGGGTGCGGTGACATTTCTCTTGGCTCATCACATAAGGTTACACGTAATCGAGTATATAACGGTTCAATCCGGTGCGAAAAGGATCAGTAACAGACGCGAATGCACGGCTGGACATAGAAGTATTGCGAGGGACAGATAATCGGAAAGGACGTCGCTAGGAAGGAGCCATGAAGTTGCTGGTAAGCGGAGCGAAAACTTTATCGCGTCTCATCGAGAGGGCCGTTCGAAGGGAAGATTGTTACGAGAAGGGAATCCGCGGACGGTGCCTCTGATGAGAAAACTTTAATCTGTTGGTTCGTAATACACTTTCGTGTCGTTCGTGAAATATGAACGGTCCGCGCTATCTCTGACCAATGTCTCCTGATATATAGACCCTGCCACCGGGTATATTCGGAGTCAGCCGGATAATTGAAACGTATGGTCCGGGTTCTGTAACTTTGATTAAGACGAGTAATGTATTGATTTCAATTAAATGGGCTCCGCGCAGCACGCGCCGGCCGATCGCTAGCAATTTATCTCTACAGTGACTTTCTTTATCGACTAACGATCCGTTGCCTGTTCATCGATCAGCTGAAAATAGATTGAAAGGCAGCTGCTGTTTAGCGTTACTTTTCACTGGAAAAGGTAACTTTAATGAATTGCGGTACCTTTGAGATTTCCTTATCGCTTTCCATTAATTCTTTACTCCGGACCAGGATATACGTCATTGTCACAGAGAGAATGATATTGTTCTTTCGTAAGGGGTGTAACTATTTGACCTATCTAAAAATAAGTATACTTTTCATATTATTCTATAGCCCGATAGGCTGATAGCCTTTTCTTATCTAAAGTAACATGTTCGTTACTACGTGGGTTGGAAAGAAACGTTCATCACAGACCATGCTTTGGTCTATTTACTTCTACACAGCTTACCGTAAAGTTTTGTTTAGAAACAAAAGATTAGAAAATGAGAAACTGTTTTCTTAAGATTGATAGAAATAATTTAATGAGCTTGAATCCTTTAGATTAAAGGATTTTATTCGTTTGTGTTAAATGCGTTAGATGATATTTGTTGAAACTTCGAAAAATAAGAAGATTACAACATTCAATTTTCGGCAATCGATTAGAATTTCAGCTTTCATTGTGATCGGCTGCTAATACACATTTCATATGCTTTATTATCGTACGGTTTAATATCGATGTATCATAGATAAAAGTTTATTTTTAATTATCATTGCACTAATAAAGACCTGAGATATGAAATTCTCAAATACCTCGTTCTATGTTTTCTTGGAACTTTGGGTAAAGCCACCATTATTTTCGTAAATTATCATAGCTTAATTGTTCACAAACATAGGTTCACACAAAGGAAATATATGTTTTCAAGCATTTAATATTTTTTCAGTTTTCGTCTTTTGCTACGAACTCCACGGATTCGTTCCTAGAGAAAAGTTTTTACGTTACGGCTTATCCTCCATTGCAATTCCCTACAAGAAAGTCCTCCAAATTATCATAATCATTTCTTGAATAAAATTACAATTTCTTACACCTGCTATTCCATAATAAACCCCGAATTCGTTAATTTATTTTCTTTTTTCAAAATTCTCTCGGTTTCTCGCCTGTATAGTGCTCTTTCGAAGTAAGTGACAAATGTCTCTGCTATCTAGATTCCTCGATCAACGAGGATTTTCAAGTAGCTTGTTCGATCAAGAAAACACCGGCTCACTCTTTCAAGGAAGCATCCACACTCTTGATAAAATGTTTGGCCGAATGCCGTCCACGTGCTTGCACGTTTCCGTGCCAGTGATGATATGTTCATGCACGACACGTCTGCACGGAATCTAGTTATGCAAATCGGTGCGTGCGAGTCGATCCGTGGCCATCGGATGAGATAGGTGCGTGACGAATATTGTTCTCAAATCATCTGAAGATCTGATGCGTCTCACGGTGCTGAACATTTCGTCTAAACACTGACTAACCAAGTTAAACCAGTTAAGTTTAACACAGTTTTCGGCTACTTACGTTGCGTTTACTAATCGCAGACCTACTTTCTAGAAAATGAAATCATAATTCCGTTCCCTTCCGTAGATCCTCTTTAAAACCTAAAAATTATCTTCAGAAACTTTTATTTTCTTCATATTGAAAAAGTCAAAAAGAGGCCAATTTTTAAGGCTCAACCAACAGACATCAAATTTGAGTTAAAGTATATGTAACAATTCCATCGGGAATCGAAATATCCATGTTTAAAATTATAATATATGCCAATTGTCATTCAGAGAAATGTTATTAGAGGGACTAGAAAGAAATTTTTAATTCCAACAGAAAGCTTTATCATTCCACATAAATTTTTAAATATTTATCCAAAAAGTGGATTTGGAAACTTATTGATTAAATTGGAAACTGTCTTAGAGAAGAAAGCACTTGTATTTTAGATTAATATTTAAGAATTTATATGAAATAATAAAGCTTCCTGTTAAGCCTAAAAATAATGGATTCCTTTGCCGTTCTCGTAACATTATAGTCGGCTACACGTTATTTGCAATCTATAAACCGTAAAAAGCTCGTTATATCTCGTTTCCTCGTGACTTTTATAGACAATACTGGAGGGGATAGCATTAACCGCTAACAATCAGCCAGCTTAAACGCTAACCGATCAATTCGAGATGTTCGATAACAAACAAAAACAACAAGTGTCTCGACATCAGTTTAATACAACACATTTATGCACGAGATTACGTGAAAGCATTCGAACAATTGTGTCGCGGTGATCAGCGAGGTCGTCTCACGTTACTTGTCCAGATAACGCGTCGCAACGCTTGTGATACTCGTCTTAATAAATCATGCCTTATCCGTTTTCAGCTGCAGTTAGTGGCATCGATTCTCCTAACATCCGTTTGCGCCGCCGGTTGGCCGTATCGTGAAATAGTGGGCGTTGGGCAATCAGCGACGCCAGTATTCGTTGCACCAGTTTATGGAGTCGCACCTGCATTGAGCATATTGGAGCCAGCCGAAGAGGTTGCAACGGTGGTAGCTGGCCCGGTAACAGGTACCACGGTCGTCGAAGGATCGTCTTCAGGACCTGTGACCTATCTATCGCCTGGAGATACAAACGCTGTGCTTCAAAACGATTCTTTGCTGATTACAAGTAATCTTTCCTTCTGTCAGAATAACGGTTTGCAAATGGAAATTTTTCAAAATATTTCAAACCTTTCCCATAAGAAGCTAAATTATATATTAAATTTTTAAATAGAACCAAAGAAAATTATTGATTGATCCTGTGTTATTCAAATAACTATATTGCTTGCTTATAAATATCGATTTTACATATCAAAGTCCGATGTCACTAAGCTGACCACATTTATTCTCAAAGGGTTAATTCCTGTCCTATAAGTTTTCTTGATAAGTTACATTTCTGTGTGTACTCACGTATATTACAAGTAATCGGCACGCACTTCATAAATGCATAGCAAAATTATAATTCTTTGTCTAATTATACAAAGCAGCACACTAGCATATCACCGGGAAAAAGCCATCGAACAAGAAGCCACTATAATAGCATGCAGCACTCGAGGGATTACAAAAAGGAATCAAGCGACTATCATTCTAATAATATTTTCATACCATTTCGGTTCTTCGCTACTCTATTCACCAAGACTGGATTTGGTTACGCAACCAGGGTCGTATGAATACCGTTTTATTGCCTTGTGCACATTTTACGAGTCGCATAAACCGAAGAATTTATTAACGACGCGTTTCTCGAGGACTAGCCGTTTAAATGGATTTATAAGTTGAATGAACGCGTTATGCGCCGGTTGCAGCTGGAAAGGTTGAAAAAAAGAGTATGTCCGTAAATTTCTTTTTACAGATGCGACAGAGGTATCAGCTGCGAACGAGGATTCGGTGCTCATTAAAGGAGCATCGGCCGGACCGGTGACGCTGGTCGCTCCTTCCGACAATCTCGGCGCAATCGCCGATAATGCACCGTCAGCCGAAGCGGAAACAAAGAAAGGTGCTGTTGCATCGTCAGCATCGGCGGCTGTCGCAATCGAAAACGCAGAAGAATCGTCTGCATCGGCGAGCGCAGCGACAATTACCGAAACAATAGGAGTAGCATCGGCGAAGGCGGTGATAGGTCCCTCCACTGGGCCCATAATCATTGTTGGCCCGACCGCTCCGCCGATCCCAACCACAGCCGCTCCACCGACAGTTGCACCTTTAACGGCAGCCGCTTCGGCTGCCACTGCTGCTGTCAGTTCAGCTGCCACTGCAGTCGCCAATGTTTCTGCCACGGCGACTGCCGGGGGAATGAGCAACGAAGCTGCTACAGTTATCGGTAAATCAAAGTTTACAGCTTCTTTTGACTGGGGCTTGGGAAACTGAATGGTCTAAGCTGGGAAGTTATAGTTTTACGATAATTAATTATATGGTAAATTATAGTAATAATATTCGCATATTTATTGGGAAATTATCGACCAGAAATTTGCTTCCAATTTATTCAAATTGCCTCTGAGTAAAGTGAAATTTTATTGAACTTTAGTTGTTTAAATTTTTTTATGGAAACATATTTATATAAACTTCTGTAATCTAACGATATTAATGGAATTTACTTTGATATTATAAGAATATTTCTTCGACGATTGGCCCATAGATCTATATATATTTAGCTTAGCTTCACACTCTTGTGATAGGCAGCAACATTTCCGAACTTAGACCACTCTAATTTTTAAAGACTCAATTAGCCTCGTCACACAGCATGTTTCAACTTGTTTACTCCACGCTGAACTTTTCATCATCACGAAAATCGAGTAACATGTTGCAATTCAGCATTCCCCTAACAGTACTAGATGTAATACTCCTAAGCACACTGTCATGATACCACATCGATATATACATACATTCTGCAGCGATGTGCATAGTGAAAGCATTAACTGTGAAATTCCTCCGTTCGTTTCGGATCGTAAATAACCAGGTTCAATATTGATCAAAGAGGTATTCCTTGAATGCGATTCGTTCGTATCGCAAACGCGAAAGACGTTTATACGGAGCCAGCCACTGTTTTCAGATATAACAGAGTCCAGCAAGACCCAGGTTTCAGCATCCAGTTCGAGCTTAGTGACGCAGAGTATTGGAAATTCCATAGTTTCCACGCAGGCGAAGGTTAATCTGATTAGGCCTGGGGCTGCAATTATAGTAGCACAGGCACCTTCTAGTAATGCCGTTGTATCAGAGGGTGCGGTTCCCGCCACGCCGGCTTCCGATCCACCGCGAACTGTTTCCGCTGCTGCCACCGCTTCCGTGCTACTAGCCAAGGCGCCGCCACTCTAAACATCGCACAACGCTCGAACGGCTGTTTGTTCGACCTGTGTCGCACGCGAGACAGAAGAATCGCCCTGCTCCTGATTTACGAAGCGGTCGCGGCGCGGAACAACCGGGGAGACCAGAGCCTTTCTACAGACAGTTTTACGGGCCAGGCGTCGATAGGCCGTGCTCGGGCCGCGAAAAGCCAGCGCATTAGTTGACATTGCGTTGGCGACAGGGCCGATACGAAACAAGGAAGGGAAAAGTTGTGCAAGGACGACGGGAACCATGCGTAGTCGTTGGCATTGATGCCTACGAGTCACTTTCTTGCGAACGATCACGCTACTATACAATAAGCCGGCGATCCTGCTGTCCATTCGCAGTCGTTCGATTTTCTTAATTTCTTTCCTTGTTCTTTCTTTTTTAATAAATAGAAAAGAAGAGCTGATGGTGTTTTTGCTTCGTTCTTTGGTCGATGGATGTTGATCCTTTCCAGTTGAATGCTTTTGAATGATTTCGAGCTTAGTTTGAACTTTGTTTATATAACGAGAGATTGATACATGGTTTTCTTCGCATGTGTGGAAATAAGTAGGGAGAATAGGGTATGTTTGTTTTACATTTGGAATTGTTTGTTTGGAGGTGAAGCAGTTATTTTGTTTGAGATCTATATCTCAAACTCTAGTCGTGAAGTGAATCGGAAAACTCAATATCTGCATTGATGAATGTTTTAATATACTAAGGATATGTCTCATAAAATTTTAAATATCCAGATATATTATAAATTGTATTAATATATGCCACACGTAACATTTTATTGACACTTCAATAATATCAAATTCGATAGCACAGCGTTTCTCTAAAAATATCTAAAGAATTAATTGAATAACTTTTTGGGAAAGAAACAAAAAAGGAAACCTGTCCAATTGTTTGAAAATTTAACTTGAAATACACAAGATTAAGCACATGTAAAGAGAATAGAAACGTTTTTCTGAACGTAAAGGATTGTGTCTATCGATGTAATTGGGAAATTCAATACGATTAAAGTAAACGGACAGGAAAACAAGTAAAATTTTCAGTGGATAATGGGATCGGGAAACATAGCGTTGTTTGATTTGCAACGCCAACGATTTTCGGTATTGTTACGAATGACAACATAGCGCTCTAATGAAGTGATATTTATCCCGTTAATCTAGTTAGCTCGCTATTGGAGCGATCTAACGGCTGGCGCAACCTCTACTTTAGGTTAAATCATAGCAAACAAGCCGAACCTAAACCATACGATTAAACATGAAACTCAATTATTACCGTGCTGCTTTCACTAGGCAAACTGAATGTATCGAGTTGGCTCTGCCGTGGACTTTTGCTGTGCGAGAGGCACCAAATGTTTGCCCGTTTCACATTTGAACCTTGTCCAACCATTCCAACCGGAAATACTTTCGGCGGTGGCGATCTTTGGGCGAACTTTATTCGGTCACTTTGAAATTTAATCCTCTGAAACGCTTCCTTGCGAGCATGCTTCTCTTTATGCTTCCAGATATAATTTTTAACATGGACATTTGTTTTCACGAAATATATTAAAACCCTTTGCCAAAGAGAAACGGTTTCAACAGAACTTGGCGCTCTTTTAATGAGTATTAGAAGAATGTTACAATAGAATTTTCTGTTGAAGGTTACATTGAAATTTATATAAAGAAAAGCGATAATCTTTCTTACAATATTTAGATTTAATTGTTTAAATCTCGAACTTTACATAGAACTAGTAGGAACAGTTTGTTCGAAGGTTTCTTTTACATGAAGATTTAAGGAAGTACATGGAACTAGTAATGACTATTACAAATTGGAGGACTTAAACTACTATATAAGACAACATAAAAGCAAGAAGGATGACAGAAAACTTAACATAAGGATCTTTATCTGAGTAGTACTTGTAAATAGCACTCTTTATAATGGTGCAGCAGGCGCGGCATTTCTCGTTGCCAATGTTTGAAAGAGGGAAGATAAATTATTATTGTCGTTTAACTGTCCATTTGAACCAGTATTAAGTCCTAAAGATGCGGCAGGGGAATTACAAGCGCAGCGTCCTTCAAGCATGTTTCGTATATGCTTCAATTCCGCAATTATTTCAGGTAGATGCAACATTGGTTTAAAACCTATATTTGGAAAATGAGGCTCACATTCCTTTGGTTTCATGTTACCCAGAATGTTGCCAATAAGCCCCAACGCAGAAATTTGCTGAATCATCTGAAAAGAAGATGAAAAATCACGTTTTACTAAAACAAATACTTTTTCCACATTTCAATCGTTGTAGTCTATCTTTTCATTACAAAATAATATTACAAGCAGCTTATACCATTCCTTAATTTCAACTTCCGGCATTATGTTATGCCACGCAAATTCCTGAACAATTTTTACGTAATCACTGTTAATTCAGTACAGTCACAAAACATTGCATTTCATTAATTCATCTAGACTTTGTGAAAATGTCAAGTCAGAGGGAGGGAATTAACGTAACTGTTACACGAACAAAGGGCCTGAAGAGTACTCGCAATTAAAAATTCGCGTGCGTCTGAATCGGCCCGTTTTTCTGTGCGCATTTGTAACGCGTCGAACGGGTCCGCGCCTAATACAGACAGATGCCAGTTTCGAGCCGAACATACGAACGTTACGCCTCGTTTGTTTCAATTTAATGCATTAATGCTCCACGCCCGTTTGTCAAAGTCTCATTCCATCGCCTTGTCGTACCTTGCAGATATTTCGTTATTTCGCCATGTGTCTCGAATAATATTCATCACTGAAACTCCGAAGTAACAAAGATACATACGTGTAGAGAAATAACCAGCAGCAGCATCAGGCGAATGACTTTTCCTACGGCCATGGCTCTCCGAACAAATTCCTTCGACGTATAATTAGAGGAAGACTCTCGATGTCGAATGTCACGAAGAATCTTATACCATCTTATATACCTCGAACGTTTGTAAACATTCTTAATTAAAAAGAAAATATGTGTCAATAAATGAATTACGTACTGATAACCGAGTTTTCGTAAATTCCGCGAAACGTTGCCCGCCTCGCTATTCGGATTCACTTATCAAACCGTTTGGTATCAAATTTGTTCGCGAAAAAACGTCACGACGGCACGAAAAGTAGTGTACGATAGCGATAAACGGCGCGTCCGCCGGTAGTCACGAGCTGATATTGGCGTAACATAATCACGGTCCATTGGCCCGTACGTTTACAGCAGCGTCGAATGAGAAAAAAATACCGACGCTCGTGTTTCCTGTTGTTCCCCTGACATTTTAACCGAGACGAAACCAGCCGACGATTACCTGCTCGCGTTTAAACGAATATTTTTTAATCGACTCCGGCCCTCGGCGGACCGTTTCATTTCACGAGATGACACGGCTCAACTGTAAACAATGCTAAACGGCACGAAGCGGAAGATCAACCGTAAAAGTTGAAACTGAAGCGCACTTTTAGCGGACAGCCGTCCATTTATCGCGTCTCGTTTTTCAATGTAGTATTCAGCGTTGAGCATTCTTTTTTCAGGACAATTATTAATTCGCAAGGCGCGATCGATGCAAATAGCTTGGGGCAAGCGTACCTCAGCGTTATAAAATATAAATGGCCCTTTAACGAATCGCGCGAACCCGATTCCGACGTAAATCCGATTACCAAAATAGGTTTCTATTAGCAGCGATTTTCAGTAGCGCCTGTCGAATAAATGTTACTCCTAATTCCGAATGCGAGCAGTCGTTATAACAATGCAGCTGCGCTTATAATGAGCGTTCTGCATATGCTCGGGCAGTAATTATGTTAATGACTGCTGTTTCTCTGTTCGAAAATTCGGAAATACGAAGCACCAGTTGCACGAAGTGTTTTAGTTTATTTTGTCTCTCGTTCTTCCCCTTTAATTTATCATTCTTATCTTTTTTTCATTCTACTTATTTAGGTATATACTCTACGTAGCTTCCTAATTTTACTTTTCTTCCTTGAATTTCTAATTATATTTCATAAGGTAACAGTTTTAAGAGCAACTACTCACGGACAATTACGTCAATCATTGTTCTAAAATTAACATTGAATAATGCATTATACACGAGTCATCATAAACAAAACAGGTTTTATGATTGCAAATGTGATACAGAGAGTAGGTTGCTCTCCGGACCGAGTACTTGTATACCTACGTAAAGCTCCACATATTATGCATACGTAGAAAGAGATTACATGCATGAATAATCAGTTTTATATACAAAAGTTATCGACGTGAAAGGCGGTCGGGTGGAGAAGGAGGAAACGATATAAGGGGGAGGTATTTTGTTCGTGTTCAGCTAGACGCTACATCGGTTGTGCTAGCTGACAGACCTGGTCTTCCATTGCGGAGACCGTGGGGGTTATGCTGCGTATCTACTGAACACCTTGCTAACCGGTCACGAGTTACCTCGTGTTTTCACGGTCTCAACCGTTCACAAGTTAAGCAGTATTTGCACGTAGAGTAGAACTTCGATTAACCGATTTAACACTAAAACTACCAGGCGGATCAAAATGACCCATCCCTGATTTCTTCATTTTACAATGATTAAAAAGATAACGGATATTTTTTTGAGAAATAATTAAAGAAATTGGTTTCGTAATACGCAAACTGAATTTCAAATCAATCAAAGTTTCAATAGATGCATTCTTGGAGTTTTTATAAAGAAATTTCAAAAAGTCATTTTAAATACTCGGTAGTTTTAGTGTTAATTAACCGGTTAACGGTCTAGATAAATGAAAAGTGGAGATGAAATTTTTCAAAGGATGTTAGCAAAATGTGATCATAGGGAAGAACAGGGTAATCGCGGTTAGTTGGCAATGATGGTTAATATTATAATTACAAAATGACACATCTGAAGTTAATATTTGTATTGCTTACGTCTTATTATATCGTTTAGTACACGTAGGCACGGTTGCCACTCAATTACTGCTCAACAACAAAGAAAAACAGGTATCTGTTTTTTAGCATGATTGAGGTAATATCTTCTATACAGAAAATAAGAAATCAGTACTACTTTTAAAGTTTTTTTACAATTTAACTTTCATTACTAATAGATGTATTATAAATAGAAAGGACGGTATTTATATTTCTTGTAAATGTTTTTTCATTTACGCGCTTTAATATTGAATTTTATCGATTAATGTATGTGCGGACAATGATGGTCACTTGCTCAATATATTTGCATAGTCACATATTTGCATCTTAGGCAGAAATTAACAAAAAATTAGCAAAAAAATAGCAAAAAATTCAAGGAATAAAATCAGAGAAGAAAGCAGGTATTCATAAGTTGCATCGATAATGATTGCCTATCTGCATAAACTAGTTTCTTTTACAAGGACGACCAACTAGTTGCGCGACACTACGTCAAAGGGGACCTCAGCTTATTGATCTTGCAAAAGAGATTTCACATTTTTAATATTTAAAATGAAGGCTGATATTTTATTTACTGTTCCGTATTTAGCACTTGTACTGACGACTTTCATGGAATACGCTAGCTAACCAAAAGTTACCATCTTATGTAAATCCTTATTATATGAAACTGTGGTTTAATATAAAAAGTAGGATTTTATTCTGAAAGTTTATAGAAGTACACTACTTTAGTTTCATAACTATAAGAAACATGTTATGAATAAGATTAGAAGAACTTGTCGTGCATTATTTAATATCAATGTAATTTTATCAGATTACACAAAATGTATTTATTAAACCTCTATAAATATAAAATAATGCTTATGAATTTTGGTGTTTTTCATCACAGTTAGCCATTATTAAAATAGACTATTTTCTTTATTGCAAATATCTTTATATTTGGTACTCCATTTTATAGCGTCGATGGCTCTATTCTCTGATTTTTTAAAGAAATCTATTACTCTTGCTTGTTTACTTATTCTTAAGAAATTTTTATAAATCTTGTAATATGACGCAGCGTATTTATGTCCGTACCTAAACAAAAAAGTACTTGTCAACCTCTTATTTCCTTATGAGCAATTATTTTGAACCAAAATAATTTGTAATTCAAATTTTATTTGAATAATCTTCGTTACTCTTTCATAATTCTAGACTTTCCTCTATTTTTTTGTTCATCAAGCAATTCCCTTCTCCACACACCTATTTTATTTCCCTAGAAGAAGTTCCGCAGCCCTTTTACATCTAATATATATAAAAAATAAATAAATCACCAATATTTTCACTCAATTTTTACTCACTACATACGCCAATTCTTTTTTATTATTAAATTCTATTTTATATTCAAACAGTGTTCATGAATAATATTTTCCAAATATACCAAGAATTACCCCTTATAAACTCGAAAAAGTCCGTGACAATAAATAATTGAATAAACACTCATAAAAAGAACCATACAAGTCTAATTAAAAATTTATTGTCTTGTGGAAAGTGTTCTCATTTGGAATCGCAGCATCGTTCTTCGTTTTAATTATATTTCAAAGAAAGAAGCAGCAGTATTAAATATGAAATGGAAATACAAAAACTGGCCTAGCGTACAAAAAAGGCCGCCCCTTTCATCAATTAGGAATCACCGGCTGGAAACACGAAACACAGAGGGAAGTGATCGAGCTATCTATCCGGGGGCTCTTAAAAAAACGTTTATTGAAGCGGACTCGAACGCAGGGGGACGCGAAATTAATTCGACACCAGCAATCGACGCTTTTCATCCCCTTCTTCGGTCGATCCCAGGCCAGTAGCCGGCGGAAATGCAGACGGACCAGACAAGGCACCAATGAATCCCAATAAACGGGGTAATTTTATGGTAACACAGAGAAAAACAAGGGGAAGTCGTTGGCCGCTGGTAATTCTCGTAATGGCGTAACGCGTTCCGGGGCCTGGATGCACTTTGCTCTAATGCACTCGGCTCCCGCGACCACCGACAATGCACAGCTCCGGGGTCTCTCGGAAATAATACGGTAGCAATTTTACTGCCGGCTCGGCTGCCAATTAATACGCGTTTTAATACTTCCCACCCCTCGGGCTGTACAGTTTCCGCCCTTAAACGGTTTGAATTTCGATGCTCGATACTCATCGCCCGATATAGGGGTGCGTCGACAGTTGCCCGGAAACATTTTTTCACGTGAAATATATGTATAACAGTCGGAGCGCGCGTATCTCTGTTTATCATCTGGCCAGGAAATGGAGACATTGATGAATGCGAGAAATTTCGACACGGAGTTTCCGGCTAGAAATTCTACGGAATTTACCGTGGAACCTTGATTTCGATGCGACAGCGCTCACGGTGGTTCAGATCTTACAATTAGAGAGAAAAATGTCTAACAATGAAGACGGAAGAATAAGAGGGAATATTTCGCGCAGTGTACGTACCACTTAAACGCACAGTGAACTCTAACGTTAAACTAAGGAAATAGTTAGATAATGAAAACAATTATGAAAATTACGTATATAAATATTTTAGTAAATTACAAATTTATTAAATCTAAATATTTGAGTTAGATTAATCAATGATGAAATCGGTTATGAAAATTACGTATATAAATATTTTAGTAAATTACAGATAATCTGAATCTAAACTCCGGCATATTTTAAAACATATAAATTTTATGGAGTTTGTATATTTGAGTTAGAATATATGGGTGCATAGACAATCTAACTGTAATAAAAAAATTGTTTTACTACTGTCTCCTCTTAATTTGGTAATTTTAACCGAATAACGTATCTACGATAACTGCAGCAAATTTGCGAGTTTTTTCCGCAGGATGCTATAAATCGCCGTTGGCACGGATCAATTGTTCCATGGCACGTCTTTAAATATGATTCAATTCCATTGCCAGGAAACGTGAGACTATTCTCGCATAATCTTCGCGAATTCTTTCAACGCATTGATTCCAGATGAAATGATCTGTATTATGCGATTTAACTTAATAGAACTACCTGGCGTGTACGTCCGTACTGAGTAATCTGAAGAATATGTTAAACGAGAT